GGCATGAAAGCTGGCTGGATGACTTTGGGCCAATCACCAGGAGACGGTGAGTTCTAGTCCCACCTTAGGCATGAAAGACAGGTGGAAGACTTTGGGCCAATCACCAGGAGACGGTGAGTTCTAGTCCCACCTTAGGCATGAAAGCTGGCTGGATGACTTTGGGCCAATCAACAGGAGACGGAGAGTTCTAGTCCCACCTTAGGCATGAAAGCTGGCTGGATGACTTTGGGCCAATCACCAGGAGACGGTGAGTTCTAGTCCCACCTTAGGCATGAAAGACAGGTGGAAGACTTTGGGCCAATCAACAGGAGACGGAGAGTTCTAGTCCCATCTTAGGCATGAAAGACGGCTGGATGACTTTGGGCCAATCACCAGGAGACTGGGAGTTCTAGTCCCACCTTAGGCATGAAAGCTGGCTGGATGACTTTGGGCCAATCAACAGGAGACGGTGAGTTCTAGTCCCACCTTAGGCATGAAAGCTGGCTCACTAACTTTGTGCCAGTCAGCAAGAGATGGTGAGTTTTAGTCCTGCCTTACATACAAAACCGACTGGGGGCCTTTCCTCTTAGCCCTAGGGAAAAGACACAGAGCAAACCACTTCCAAAAATATTGCCAAGAAAACGCTAAGGCCTTATTCAGACTGATTCAAAGATGGGAGGGGGGGGGGGGAGGAATAAACAAAGGGAAAAAAAGAAAAGTCTATAGATTTTTCCCCTGAATGCTAGCAGAGTGAAATGTGCGTCAGAAACAGAAGTTAAATCTAACTTGGAAAAGAAAAAAAAGAAAAAAAACCCTCAACTGATTAGAAAGGGTTTTTATTTTTAATAGAAAGCCACTGTGGATCTGAGGAGATGGAGGGTGGGGGAAAGGACCTGAATTCTCATTTGGGCATCTATATATATATTCTAAAACTTATTAGTCATGTATTTTCACCCACCTTCTTCTTATACAACAGTCCGAGCAGCTTTTCAAAATCCATCTCCGGATTCTTAACCTTTCAAAGTTCTATCTTAATATCCCCCAATAACTCTCTTTCATTGCTGGGTTAGTTTAATTTTCTAAATTTTACTGTGTGATTATTTGGAGGGCTGCAATCAAATGTTCATCTGGCTTTCT